CATATATGATGGTGAACAGCTTGTTGGAGGTGAAGGACTTCATTTGTACGTTGACGGAAGGAGTCGAGGAAATGATCATCGACATTGATTTGTGGGAGTTTATCCAGCGCTTTTCGGCAGTCTTTCAACCTGTATCTGAAGCAACTACGAGATTGCAGGGCTCTCAAATTACTTTTGGTGATTTTTTCTTAACATTGGAGAAATGCACATTTGATCTCAAAAGTTCCAAAGATGATATGGCGTTAACACTCGCCAGCAAAATGGATGACCGACGAGTGAAACTTATGGACAACCCTTCATTCCTGGCTGCGATATGTCTTGATCAGCGGATCAATTTTCGGAACACGCCATTTATGACTAAGGATCAAAAGGAAATCGCAATGGTGAGTAAACATTTTTTTTCGGTTTTTGAAACTTCAGCTAACATGTACTTGTGATTTTATTAAACTTTAAGGACTTTTTAAATGATGTTTGGGAAAACATGCGTGTTGTTTTCAACCCAAACAGTAGTCAACCTGAAAGCATTGAGAAAACGGCAAACGGCGATTCTTTTGAAGCATATTTGGCATCTCTTGACGAAACAAATAATACAGCTCTAGATGCTAACATTTGCGATGAACTGGCGAAATTAGCATGTATGGCACGCTTGAAGCTCAACACCACAGGATCGGAACGGGAAACCATACTGGACCATTGGTTCAAGATGAAAACTTCGAAACCGGAGCTTTACCGATTGGCTTCTGCTTTTCTGGGAATCCCTTGTACGCAAGTGAGCGTAGAGAGATCATTTAGTGCTCTAGCTCTGATATTGACCAAACAACGATCTTTGCTTGATGAGCAGACCTTGGCTGATATTCTTTTGATTCGACTAAACAGCGAATTGCTGAAAAAGGTTGACTGCAGTGAAATTTGAAATAATTTGTTAGAGTCTTTAAACTCTATAATTTTCTTTTATTTTTCATCAAGCTAACATTAACCTTATGGTCCTTAGAATTTGATTAAAAGAAAATCATTAAAAAAGGAAAATATTCTTCGTTTTACTTATTAACTAATGAAAGAAAACTTGAGTAGGAATCCCCCGAATAGTGGTGCCGTCCACCCACTGCAATTGCTCGGTTGTCTTCAAACCAATTGACCACTTTATCAAGCAGTTTTGGCGTGACTTTCTACCAGCGATTTCACAAAACTGGACCAACCAATTTCTATGTTTTCATGAAACGCACAAATGTTGGCTACTTTTCTCGAGGTTCCAGGAGAAAAAAATCTCAAAATAATGTTTTATTTCAAAGTTCGAGTGGTAGTAAACGTCATTTTAACTGCTCGAATGAAGTGGTTAATTGAGCCAATTTTCTGTATGTGCACACCCTAATCACAACCACATCGCTTTAGTCTGATGTACGTTTCCGCCATCATTTCAAAGTTCCATGCCATTACTCGAAGTCAAGAGTGTTGCTGATTCTCGGACAACGCACATGACTCGCACCAAAAATGAGCTATGAATGTACTTTTTTGGAGCATTCCGATCCATTCAATGGAGAAAAACAGAGAGTATATAATGTAAAATAACCACAATGCTTATTTTGGGAACACGATATGATTTATTTTGGAAATTGTGCGTCTCAAGATTTAGGTAAGAGGTGGAATTAAATTTAAATAGGAAAAGAGGCAAGGAATATTGCAATAAACCAAAAACCATTGTGGCTTTTAAAGTAAGCAATAATTAAAGGACAGCAAATGTTGGTACGATATGGTTGGGTTTACATGTCTTGACTAACTCAAGGTTTTTCATACATAATAAGTATACATATAAACTGCTGAACTAGGCTTGAAAACTGTTTTTGAAAAGTATGAGAGAAAGGTCGGTGTTCATGCTATGGCTCGATTTGCAGTAGAGTGCAAGCGTTAAGATTTTGTTTGTGTTTAAAGCATGATTCGCTATAAGGAATAGGATGAATGTCGCGATCGCGATCGAGAATGTGAGCTTGGCACTTTGGCAATCGAAACTGCGAAAAAATAGGCTTTCTCGGTTCTATATGTATATATGACGTACGCATGATGCGGGACATTATTCCACCTTAATAGCTTCATTCGGGAGATTTGTTGTAATGTAAGGGGCTCGGTTTTATAGTACAATCATCCCAGACCACTTCACATTACTGAGTTGATAGGGTCGCATCGTTTGTCTACCCGGCATCGCAACACAAGTCTTATTCGTGTCAATTTTGGAAATGCATTCGTTGATCATATTAGCCCGTGTAGCGTATTACACAGCAAAAAAATAATTTTGATATCACATCAAAGTGGATGCACTACAATCATGTCGAAAATTTCATGTAATTTTTATGACCACATAAATAAACAAATGCAGTAAAAGCAGCGTAATGTCAGTTCATGCATTGTATTAATGATAATTTTGTCCTTTTTAGCAAGTAATATTACACCATATTTTCGACATGATTGTAGTGCATCCACTTTGACGTGATATCAAAATTATTTTTTTGCTGTGTACACTAAGTTTCCCTATGCTTCATTTCCTCTAAGATAGAACTGGCATGTGTACACTGGAGTCGCTTTTTACGCGGTTTTTTTCTTACACGGTTTTTTTTACGCGGATTTCGGAATTTACGCGGTTTTTTTTACGCGGATTTTGTTTTTTTTTTTACGTGGATATCAGAATTTACGCGTTTTATCATTATACACTAGAGTCACTTTTTACGCGGTTTTTTTTACACGGTCTTTTTTACGCGGTTTTTTTTACGCGGATTTCGGAATTTACTCGGTTTTTTTACGCGGATTCCGGAATTTACGCGTTTTTTTTTACGCGGTTTTTTTTTTACGCGGGACGTATCACCCGCGTAAAAAGCGACTCCAGTGTACTATCTAAACTCAAATACCTACTTGCCATAGCAACCAAATTTCATTCGCCTACACCCTTCACAAATTCGAGCTTTGCGCTTCTAACATCGACCATACAGCACATGTGATGCGACACGCGAAACCAGCGCGAGCCTCGCGCACGTTAGTTTTGTTTTCGTTGCGATGGGAGACGGTTCGTTGGGAGCCTCGCTTGCACATTTTTGTACACACGAGGAAAATGTAACTATGGCCTGTATTTCGCTTACCTACACCTTCCAGAACTTCGAGCTCTGCAGTTCTAGCATGAATCGTAGCACATGAGATGAGGCACATGAGATCAGCGTGAGCCTCGCGCACGCCAAGATTTGTTCCGCTTCCGCTGCCGTTCCGCTTCCGCTGCCGTTCCGCTTCCGCTGCCGTTCCGCTTCCGCTGCCGTTCCGCTTCCGCTGCCGTTCCGCTTCCGCTGCCGTTCCGCTTCCGCTGCCGTTCCCCTTTCGCTGCCGTTTCGGTTCTTAACTTAGTTAGGACTATGATTTGGTGGATGAAAATTGTTCAAGTTTCTGCCGCAAAGAGGGCACAGCGACCTTGTTAGCACGAAGGAGACCTACACGCTTTCGGACTCGTTTCGTGTGACATTCTCCGAGTTGGAACTACATGATTACGTTGCGATTGGCAAGTTCCGACTATCTGTTCTTTTTTTTTCAAGCATTTAGCTTACACTGAGGCCTTCTGTGACAACAATTCACGCTGAGAACTGTGCAGGAGAAAACAAATAGGACTTGCTGTAACCCCTCCAAAATGTGCATATTGTTTGGAAAGTCCGCATACTCTCGATGATTGTCCAAGATCCCACAGCAGAGAAATAAACTCCACCGATCTTTGAAAGCTCCTTTGCGGAAGTCCTGAAAACTATCGCTTCCGTCTTCCAGAATTACCTCAGGTAGCAACCCACATGACCTGCACCAAGTTGATGATTTGGGCTCTGACCCTGAGGTTCGTGAACGAAGTTATTTCGTGTTCAAGTAGGAAGCGATTCAGTAATGTCACACTACAACCTCGGAAAGCCTGTCGTATTTAGCTTGAAGTGATCTTGGACAAACCAGGAAGTAGCGATAATGTTTCAAAAGCCCCACTGAGTTGCAAATCATTTGATTTTGATAGAGACGTTGCTCGACTTCCAGATTCTTGCAAACATCCAGATATAGTGTGAAACTCTTTTGAAGCAACTATTGAATAAGTGGCCATTTATTTCTTGTTTATATGTCCTCTGTCTAGAGAGAACCAGGACACTTGCCCGTCAATCGCAACCCTCAAGTTGTGTTCCATATTTTACAAACATATAAAAAACAATTTTCGTGTTTATCGCCTGTTTTAAAAATCACTCAAACCATCACTTATGAAATGTATCTCCGATACAGCCATCACAAATTAAATGTTGTAATCTTATTGCTTATCATGTTTTCTGATTATATACTCATTCAAAGTTTCATATTTAAAGAACAAAATTGTTTGAGTTTCACTCATTTTTTTTCTACATTCATCGAGAATTATCAAAGTAACCCCAAATCAAAATACTGAAGTACGGTCACAAAACTAAAACAATAGTGCAAATGATTTAATTTCCGTTAAACCTATTACTTAATAATTAACTCTTGGATCCCCAGTACTTGTTTTAAAAATATAAATTTGGAAAAACATTCTTTGCTGTAAAAACTATTAAGAATAGTTTACGGCACGATAAAAATAAACACCATTTCTGTGGTTAACTCAAAAGGGATGCAAAACTAAATTGGACTGATATGTGACTATCGGCACCACAGAAGAAAATTAACAATTTCTTGAAGCTAAGTTATTTCACAAATCCGCTTTTGCAGCACTTTACAGATTCCTGTGCAAAAAAGATTTGCACAATAATATATCTGCCCAGGCCAGAAAATTGAAAAATCTACTTATTTGAATGCAGTAGCAGCTTAAGAACAGAATAAGCACTAATGAATTCTAGTTCTAGAACGCTTTAAGATGTTCAATATTTAAGTTTTATGAACAGTGCGTTAATATTACTTTGTTCTTATTTTTAGCACAGCAGTCTAATCGGCAGTATTGTAAATGAGCCAACGTGTCTCGTCAAGGCTAGGAAACTCACCTGTCATAGTAGTAATCCCTGCAAATAAACCAAAAAAATATCTCGGTTACTAAGATCATTCAACCGACTCGGTGAAAATCATCAAACTCACCAATCGTTTCCAGTTTTGGATTTGTTCTGCCGCTTCCTGCCCGTTTGATGTGGTTTTGGTTCGGCTACCATGTTGACGTCTGCCAAGAACAAAAAAAAAAAAAAAACGAAACGAAAAGCATTAAATTTTTAAAATAGCTCTGAAAAATTCCTCATTGCCAACAGGACAGGGACAATAAAATTTAGATCGGTACCAGACGACGGACAGCAACAACGGACGTCAGTCGTCGTCGCATCAAAACAAACGTCCGTTGAATGGTTTGCTCTTTCGGCCACCGTCATACGACATATCCTTAGAATTAAGACGACACAATGCACGTTTTTTATTGCATCCCCGCGTGTCTCAGCTTCGCTGTTTACTCTAAGCTAAAAAAAAAAAAGAGGGACGCCTAATTAAAATTAATGTGCTTGTCTGTTGGACGAATCATGTGAGTAATTTTTTAATGAACCTTTCACTGGCAGTCACGACCTCCCAACCCTTAGATCCCGAGCAAGAGCCGAAAGGTTCGTCTTCAGACGCGCCACTTTGATAATGGCTAGGGCAGACTACTTCCTATCGTGTGCTGCTGATCTTTTATCTGCAAACTGGCAGTTGATGACATTCCTCAGAGAAAAACCCGAACAACCCGCCGGCCCCGGGCGGTGTTGTGTCACTGCGGTGCGGTTCTGTTTTTGGCCTCGTAACAACAACCAGAGTATGACAAGTATTCGCAACTCATTCGATGCTCGTTTGTCGCGGGATTCTTTTCATCTTCTCACTCTTCTCTAGGTGACACAAGTGATATGGCGTGGTCCGCCTAATATTAGGCGAAAGAGAAGAAGTACGGCAATCAGATGGGTAATATTTCACGTCGATGGCAGTCCGAATGAGGCTTGAAGGTAATTTCAACGTGAGTCAGCGGGATAGATAAATTGAAAGTGAACGCGTGCCAAATGGCTGAAATATGTTCTGGGAAGTATCGGTTCAAATTGGATCGTGGTGCATCCGCGGTTAGTGCGAATGTTGGGATTGGGTAGGCTTAAATGAAATTCATATATCTTTAGAACGGGCTGGTGATGTGAAAATCTTGACATGAACATGAGTCCTGGTAAAGCCAGACAGAACTTGTGATCTATTAGGAACACGTAGCTTCTTCATGAACACTATAATTTTGGTGTTGTTGTCTAGCGTATTTTACATCTAATTAATTTTAATATTTTCAATGTATTTGCAGTACGTGAGCTAGGAGCCGTTAAAAATGTTTTGGAAAGAATTCAGAATAAAAAATCCTTCTACATTAATCTTATTCATTCATAAAAAGGTCACGAGATGAACTGTGGTTCTAACATTCTTATGTTAATCGGCGCCGTAAAATTTGTATGAACCCAATTTTGTTTTAACGAGATTTGATATTTTTCGGTGTCGTTCTTATCACGGCTATACATTTTCTATAATTTTCTTTTCTGAGTTCTTCAAACAAGTTGCACTGAATTTGGATGCCATTTAAGATCATAGGATGAACAATCCCATAAAAAATAATTAAATGTATATGCTTGAACCATCCGTGATCCGCTGCGATGATGTAGTGCGCTAATACTCGGAAAAAATCCGTTCCCGAAAACGAGAACGGACCGTGAACTAAAAATCACGGCCAGCTATCCAGAACAAAATTTTCTCAAATATACACCGTGAACTATGGTTCACGGCTGTGGTTCACGAATATGGGAACTCTTTTTTTCCCGTGTACATGGACGCAAAATTCGGACTGCCCTCAATCTTCTTCAAACTCAGCCGTCATTCGTCAATCAACAGCAAAACAGAAAACATGGAACAGTTTCTCGTTGGTTTCAAACTGGAGATAAAGTTTACGCCAAGGTATTCACTGCCAAAAAGTGGATTTGGTCACCTAGAGTGGTGATTGAAGCATTCGGAAATGTCAATTATAATGTGTTTGAAGAAAAGCAAGACATTGGTAATAATTCAGTCGACTTATCCGAACGTTCATTACTATTACTTTTAAGGGGGGGGGGGGCATGGCCCTAGCTGACAAGACATAAACCATCGACACAATGTCTTCACTTCTACATTTAAAAACTACGGCTAGCAAGAGATGTACACTCTTTCAGATTTGTTAAACTGAGTTTTTAAATAAGTTCAGGGACCTTCTTAGAAATCAAGAACGACTTAAGAGATTAATTTCAGGGAATTACGTAGATTGTTGGGAAATTTTGTTTAAAGTTAAGTGAGCGTCAAATAACTTCAAGGAACCTCGAAAATTATCAGAAGTTTCATAGAACCTTAGAAACTCCGTAGAAGTTCTGGAGGTTTTCGAGAAGTGCAAAACATTTTATAGGAGTTAAGCTATTACAGGCTGACTAAAAGTAAATCGGTACGCACAACAATTTGTTTGAAAAGTTCATTAATGGTTGCTTTACAGTACTTTTATTAAACCTTCAAAGTTACAGAATTAGATGGCTACATTTCACCAGTTCGAACGAAATCTCGAACCTTCCTCTTGATGGAGTCCATCAGCGCTCGCACAGTTGAAACAGACACGGAATCAGCGCATTTCTTCCATTTTGCCCGTATTTGCTGGATGTCCTTGACAGCCCCGCCGCTTCGTCGAAGTCGCTGCTTTGAAATTACTCAGTATTTTTCGATTGGTCGAATTTCTGGGCAATTCAGAGGATTCATTAACTTGGGGATAATGTCGATCTGGTTGGCAGCATACCACTCCAGAACCAGTTTGTAAATAATTTCAGGGATCTTCTTAGAAATCATGAATCGTAGAAGCTTTGAATCAAGAGATTAATTTCAGGGAATAACGTAGATTGTTGGGTAATTTTATTAAAAGTTTAGGGAGTGTTAAATAACTTCAAGAAACCTTAAAAATTATCAGAAGTTTCATAGAACTTTAGTAACTCCATAGAAGTTCTGGGGATTTTCTAGAAGTGCAACAGATTTTATAGGAATTAAGCTATTAACGGCTGACTAACAGTAAATTGAAACAAAAAGACCTGTAATTCGTGATTCAATCAGTTTGAAAAGTCCATTAATTACAGTTTTACAGTACTTTTATTAAAACTTACAGCATTAGATGGCTACATTTCTCCAGTTCGAACGAAATCTCTAACCTTCCTCTTGATGGACTCCATCAGCATCCACACAGTGGAAACGGACACGGAATCAGTGCATTTCTTCCATTTTGCCCGCATTTGCTGGATGTCCTTGACTGCCTAGCCACTTCGTAGAGGTAGCTGCTTTGAAATTGCCCAGTATTTTTCGATTGGCAATTCGAAGGATTCATTAGCTTAGGGACAAAATCGATCTTGTTGGCAACATACCACTCTAGAACCACTTTGGATTAGTGGCAGCTGGCCAAATCGGGCCAAAAGATGACTGTGTCTCTATGCTTGCGGATGAACGGCAATACAGGCCTTTTCAGGCATTCTTCGATGTAAACTTGGGATGCCATCGTCGAGGATGTGACGAATGGTTCCGTTTTCAGGCCACAATTGCAAATCGCTTGCCAAATCATGGCCTTCTTCGTGAACTTGTCGGCAAACACGAGCTTCCCAACTAACATTTTCAGCTTTGTAAGTCAACTTTTCCAGCGTTGTGCTGTAAAGTAGCTGAAAAGAAGCTGCAGATACAGCTACAAGCGAAAGCTAGCAAAATAGTTTTGGAGAACGTTTACTCAACTTTCTCACAACCATTATTCAATTTGTCAGTCGCACTGAATAACATCAGCCAATAAACGCTAATGTCACTTCTATACACACACTAATCAACTTTTCACTTGTAGCTGCAAAACAAAGCTAACAAAGTGAATTGAATATATTACTCATTTGATGGCTTCTACACAACCAACCACTCTTGCTGAATAACATAAACATCAAAAGTGCTTTTTCAACAACTAAACAACCTGTACTCAGCTTATAAACTGTGTTAGAGCACCTTCGGAAGCATTTTCACAGTCAACTAGGTTTATTTTTAGACGTGTGCAGTTTTACAGCTTTTACTCTGCTCTTTTATAACTAGTCGAGAAAAGTGATTCATGTGCACTATTATAAAGCCTCTACTCAGCGTTTTTGTTGCAGAAGGGAATGTTGATTTGTTTACATAAGTTCAAAGTGTTGGCGTAGCACAGTTGGAATTGTCAAGGTTTGCCAATGAGGTCGTCTCAAGTTCGATTCCAGGTTCCGGTGCAGGGTAAATAATTTGGTGATGATTTGTAACTAATTCCGATTAATTTGATTCACAGCAAATTAAACTCAATAAATTCCTTAATAAAAAGCGTAAACAGTATTTAACCCGGCTTCAAGAGAAAACTGTGTAGTGATTATTGTACAACCGGGAAGAGGTTGAATAAGCGCCTTTCAAGTTCACACACAACTAAACAGCAGGATAACAGCTGTATAGAAGCGTTAATGGATATGCAATAAGAGCATCTCCCGACCGTTCCAACAGCCATAAGTAGCTGACTAAGTTCGCCAGATTTGCTTGTATAGAGGTTGAGTAAAGGTTGCCTGATATCGTATAACGTTTGAATGCAGCTTGAGGCTTTATAAATGAAATGAGTAAAGCGTTTATATTGTGAAAATTGTTAGTTTGGTTGATTCTTCCCGGCACATCCCCACGTCCAGTCGCGATGTAAAACTTCTGACCGGGAAGCTGCTTAAAATCGAGTTTGACGTATGTTTCGTCATCGATCAAAGTGTAGCCCTTGTGTGTCGTCAAAACACGGTCGTACAAGAGCCTTGAACTCTTTTTGGCCACGAAATTCTGCTTCATGTGCCGGTTTGGATGTATACTGGCTTTGTACGACTTGTATCCTTCCCTAGCAAGGATGTTCCGCACCGTTTGGAAGTTGGCGTTGTGCGTTCTGGCCACATCTCGGATCGAAAGACCGGGGTTGGCTTTAACGCACCTCAACACCTTGCTGTGCAGTTGACGATCCCTGCTACCAGTTTTTTCGTAGATCCGCTGATTCCTTTCGACACTCAGGGTTACCTTGTAGGTTTTGAGCACTCGAAAAACTGTTGTTTTCGGCATCTTCAGCACTTTAGTCAGCTTGAAACCGGACCACTCCGGATTTTC